GAGAGAGAGAGCACACGAGCAGGGGGAGGGGCAGAGGGAGAGGGAGAAGCAGACTCCCCCGCTGAGCAGGGAGCCCGATGCGGGGCTCGATTCCAGGACCCCGGGATCATGACCTGAGTGGAAGGCAGACGCTCAACCGACTGAGCCACCCAGGCTCCCAAGAGAGTAAAACTTAAATGAAATTCAATCAGCAAGAAGCCAAGGGAGGAGATAAAAAGTGGTTCTCAAACTGGGCCCTCCATGGGATGTTAAATTCTCACTCTGAAGCCGATGGTCTACACCAGTCACAGAGGTGTAGGCATATAGCTACAGCATGCCAGGGGAGGACCTTAGAGAAAAATCAGTTTCTTAAAATGAGCAACAAAAAATCTTTGCAAGTAGGACTCGCAGGTTTTTCGTCGACTTTGCTCCGGGAGTGTTTCGGTCATTTCTCTCTGTTGGAACAAAAGAAGACCTTTAGGACAGGAAGTCCGGGCCTGGGCCCGAATGAATGAGGTCTCACTACACTCTCTAGCAGAGGCTGCACTACTTGCCGTGACGTTTATGAGGCAAAGTTGCCAGGGAGCAATCCAGTTAGCCAAGGCCCCAGTCCTCTCAGGTACAGCTCGGGAACCAAACCCCCGAACCGTGTGGGTCTAGACCAAGAAGACACCAGGAGGAGCGGCCTACAGCGAACCCTGACTGAGCGGGATACGGCGGGGACACAGGGCCTGCCTTCCAGGCACCCGAACTAGCGGCGAAGGGGTACCATCTGGGAATCTTGGCGAACTGATCCAACCTGAAACGAGTGCCTGTTGGGAGTCTCAGGTCCACCCCAGCCCAGAGGCGGGAGCACGGAAGCTAGAAGCCCACCTCCGGTTCCCGACGAGCCGACTGACCAAGAGCGCTCCCGGAGGCGCCCAGAGGCCTGCCGGCTGGGGGTGGGGCTCGTGCTGTGACGCCGCCCCCCGCCTCGCCCCGCCCCGCGCGCGTTGCCAGGGTGATCAGGTGACTCGGAGCTCGCGGCGCTCCGGGCAGCCGTGACGTCAGGCGCGCCGCAGCTTTTCTCTCTCCCAGTGGCAGGTGCGGTGCATCTGGTGCGGTCTCATCTAGTCGGATCAGGTCTCTACCAAACCAGTGCCCTACGGGTTCGAGAAGAGGAGAGGTGAGTCGGGGCGGACGCAGGCCCAGCCCAGCTGGAACCGGGGAGCGGGCAAGGCGCGGGCAGGGCCCTTCGGAGGTTTGGCGCGCCCGCGAGCTCCCCAAGGAGCACCCCTAGAGCGGCAGGCACCGGGACGGGATGGACCGATTTAGGAGGGGGTGTGCGCAGCCCCCGGGGAGGGGCCGGGAGTCGGCCCAAAGCCCGCCCGGGAGCCCTGCGGCTGTTCATCCGGTTCTGGGTCGCCGCGCCGCTCCCGGAGGCTGGGAGGGTGGAGATCCTGCGCCGCCCGGCCGGCCTCTGGGCCGTGGTCTAAAGGGGCTCCGCATTTCAGCGGGTCTCGCCACGCCCGGATTCGGCGTGCGGCGAGCGGGGCTCGCCACACCCGGTCCCGGGGGACTTGTGCGGGAGGCTTCTGCGGCTCTTCGCCATGCGCTGCGATTTCTGAGGCGCTGCCGGGGGCCGGGAGGCCCCTCGGGAGCCCCACGGGTGGGAGCAGAGGCCGGGGTGTTCAGAGACGGTCTTGGGGGGTGATTGGGATCTCAGTGGACCTGTTGGTGTAGGTGAAATCTGAGGGGTGGGGACTAATTCCCCGCAGCGGTTGGGGGTTGGAAGAATAGAGGGAGGGAAAGAGGACCTCCGCGGAAGGAGACCGTGAGCCTTGTGCTGGAGGTAAAAGAAAGACTGTTGGGTGACTGGACCGAGGGCTAGGGCTGTTTTGGGAAAAAAAAGTTTGGAGAATTAGGTTAGGGCTGGTTAGGAAAAACTCTTTTGAGTGCCCAGCTGGGGTTTGTGGGCTGGATTGGGGTAGGGGGCACACCGGGATGGGGCGACACTGAGGAAGCTGTTGGGACAGCCTGGGAAAGAGGTGACAACGCCTAGGACTTTGGTCTGATGGGATTCTGCGACCCCTGCTTATGAAAAATATAACGAGGACGCAGGCAGCCAGGTGCCTACACTCCAGCCATTGTTAGATTAAAAAATCCTTGTCAGAAAAAGGAAGCACGGAGCTGCAGCTCATTTTCTTATTGCCTTTTTTTAAGACTTTTTTTTTTTAGTAATTTCTATACCAAAGGTGGGGCTCGAACTTAAAACTCCCTTATCAAGAGTTGCACCTCTACTGCCTGAGCTAGCTTTGTCCTCCTCTTGGTTGTCACTTTTGACTGGATTTAATGTCTACCTGTGAGCTTTCCTCCCTCATTAAGCACGGAGGTTGTACTGTCCACAGAACTTGGCCTTCAGAAGTTTCAGAGTGTCTTAAAAACACTCATTATCCCCAAAGTGAAAGCCAAACGCCAAGTGATTGGTAGAAGAGTTAATGGGGGCAAGTTTTTAAAGGATAATCAATGCCCAAAACATGAATATGGAACATTGGGGAAACTGAAAGGAGTCTCATGTGTTTTGTTAATTGCAGAACTAAGAGGGCCCTGCCCCTTGTGGGCTTCTTAGCTTAAGGCTGTTTAAGTGTTAATTGGCCATTTGTCTTACCTTCCTGAGAAACAAATGGTTTTTGTAAATTAATTTATTTATTTGACAGAAAAAGGGATAGCAAGAGAGAGGGAGAGTGCGCACAAGCAGGGGGAGCGCCAGGCAGAGGGAGAGGGAGAAGCAGGCTCCCCACTGAACAAGGAGCCTGATGTAGGGCTCAATCCCTGGACCCTGGCATGACCTGAGTGGAAGGCCAGATGCCTAACCGACGGAGCCACCCAGGCACCCCCAAGTTTTTTTTTTTTTTAGAGAGTGTGCCTGAGCGCCCACGAGTAGGGGGAGGGGCAGAGGGCAAGAGAGAGCGAGTCTTTTTTTTTTTTTTAAGATTTTATTTATTTATTTGACAGAGAGAGTGAAAGCAGGAACACAAGCAGGGGGAGTGGGAGAGGGAGAAGCAGGCTTGCCGCCGAACAGGGAGCCCAATGTGGGACTCGATCCCAGGACCCTGGGATCATAACCTGAGCCGAAGGCAGACGCTTAACGACTGAGCCACCCAGGCGCCCTTTTTTTTTTGTTTTTAAGAGAGAGAATGCGAGTGGGGTAAGGAGGGGCAGAGAGAGAGGGAGAGAGAGAATCTCAAGCAAGCTCCAGGTGGAGCTCCATGCAGGGCTTGTTCCTGTGACCCTGAAATCATGACCTAAAGAAATCAAGAGTCAGATGCTTAACCGACTGAGCCACCTAGGCCTCCCGAGAAACAGGAAATTTTGATTATTTAAGAGTAATGATTTGCTGATTTATGGTTTTTTTTCCCAGGTCTGGAATTTGCTGATTCTGTGACCTTAAAAGAAAAAAAAGGGGGGGGGCACTGCTGTCCATTTTATACTGAACCTTAGCAATTTATGTTTTCTGGGAGGATGTGAAATGACTGAACCTTCCTACCAGTTTGTTTTATGTTTGCTGCAGAAAGTAGAATTGGACCTTTAGGGATCCTGTACAGTAAACGGTAGTTTAGGGAACTGCCGAGAACTTGGGAAGGTGGCCTCAGCTGGTTTGTGCGGCGCAGACCAGCAAAGCACTCAAGAGAGGGCAAATCCAGGGGGGTGGCACTTGGGGAAAATGAACCTCCCTTTAGATCAGTGAGGCCATTCTCTGTAAAATAAGTATTCCAGTAGGTCACCTGAGCAATGGGCATTTACCACACATTACTACTTCCTGAAGAGTTGTTCCTTAAAGTAAGTGGTAGGGCTTGTTATGATCGTAATTTTTAAGGGTCTTTGCAGGAGTCCTATAATATTTAGAATCTCTGGAGGTTAGATTTCTTGGCCACATTTACGAAGAATTGTTAATCATTTTCTAAATCTCTTCGGAAGTATTTGAACCAGCCAACTAATCATGGTTCCTTTGGAAAGAAACGGCCCACCCCCCATCCCCACCCCGCCAAACACTGTAACTATGTGCTGTCAGCGCCATTAAGTAGGGCAAGAGTTTTGGGAAATTTTCCACTTTCTTTCACCCATGCCTCCCCCACAAGTTTTCCCATTGGTAGAGAATATGACTTCATTGTCAGGAAAAATATTTTCGTGTGTTTCCCTAAACAAGTACGATACACACCAGGGCTGGCTGTTCTGTGTTGAGGAACAGGAATGCTCTCCGTTAAGGGGCTCGGAGCCAGGGTGAAAGGCAAAGCTGGGGTACAGGCCAGAGACTGAGCCAGGGAGAATTCTCAGCCTTGGCCCTTTGTCACGCAAGGCCCTGGACAGGGCTCTCTTTTCTTGGGAGAGAAACATTGCTCGACCTTGAAACGGGGTCAGGACTCCCTTCCCAGAAGTACCAAGGAGAATTAATGAGAGGCTTATATGAAATTTGAGTTCCTCCAAAGCTGAATCTTTTAATTCTTGGATGAATGGTGTATTTTGAGATGTAGTAAAATAAAAAAGAGGTGGATATTCTAAATTTTTGTGAAAGCAGACTCTAAGGTGTTTTGTTGTGTTTTTTTTTCTGGGGTGTTTGGGCTTGGTTATCGATAAGCCTATAATCAAGATCTGGAGGCCTGAGGGTAAATGCATGTTTGTGTTTCATAAGGAAATCATTTCAGATGGTTCCTGACTCTTTCCTCGTTCTCTTAGAGTGCCTAGAGTAAGCCAGTAACTTAGCCAGGTGTGGAGCTTTCTACCCAGTATCCTTTCAACACTAAAGGAGTTATTATGCTCATCAGAGGTAAAAGTGGGTAATAATGCTTCCTAAATTAAATGAGGAATAAATAGTCATCTTTTAAAATTCCTGTATCCTATGTTAGTCCACCAGTCCTGCTACTCAGATACTCAGGTGTTTACTGATGTGCCCAGGAACTCTACAGGACTACAATATCCATGGCTTAGGCTTCTGTCATTTGTTGGCTAGGCGTGGTTTTCACATGAGGGAATTCTGATGGGACAGGCTTCTTGTTTTTCTCAGGCAGCGCTGAGTTACAGGCCTCCAAGCTCCCAGTGGTTGGCCAAGGCTCCTAATTGGCTTGGCTATAAAGTGGGAGTCAGCAATTAAACAGCAGTATAGAAGCCAGGGGATTGGGCATGAGTTGACCCTCCAGCCAAAAAGGTTCACACCACTTTGTGCACTATTTACAAAGGACTCTGCAAAAGGAAGTGAACTTGGAATGATTTCTTATGTAGTTTTTAGGAGACATAGGTGGAATATTAGTATTGATTTAGGCCTCAGAACCAGACTTAGGAAACTGGATGGGCCCTCACTTCTAAAGCAGAGGAGACGAATGGTTTGAATCCAGTCTCTATGGACAGTAAGCCTGTGGTATGATTTTGCCAAAAACAAGGGATGAGTTATATTTTTGTGAAGCCTTTCAATTAAATGGGTTAAGGCAGTGTTGGTAGTCATGGTGGGAGGAGAGTTTGATCTACCTGAATTTACTCATTGGAGAATAAAGCTATATTCATATTGCCTATCATTAGTTTTCCGATTTATGCTAAAGAATCCTTAGTCGGCCCCAGAGAGTTGGCCCAGAAAATACATCATTACTGAGAACTGTCAGACCACATGGTCTCATTGTTCAAAGAAAGTTAGTGATGGGGAACAATTAACTGCAAAGTTATTTGGGAAGAAGACTACCTGGGAAGAGGTGCTAGACTTCTGCCACATTAATTTTTTTTTTTTTAAGTAGGCTCCACACCCAGCATGGAGCCCAATGTGGGGCTTGAACTCACAACCCTGAGATCAAGACCTGAGCTGAAATCAAGAATCAGACGCTTAACCATCTGAACCACCCAGGCACCCCTGACACATTACATTTTTAATGCTGTGCACAGTGCACAGTGCTTTACCAGTCAGCTTTCACTATCGAGACCTTGGGCAGGATCATATGGGGGGGGCATATGTCAACTCAAAACCTCAAGATCAAGAGTTGCATGTTCCATTGATTCAGCCAACCAGGGTTTCTATCCATATCTTGCCTATTGTAAATAATGCTGTAATAAACATAGGGCCCATATATCCTTTTGAATTAGTTTGTTTCTTTTTTTTTTAATTTAGATTTATTTATTTATTTATTTGACAGATAGTGAGAGCAG